GTCCAACAAAATCAATAACAATGATGATTTTGTTGTCTCTGTCCTCTTTTATTCTTTAACGATTAAAACTGCTCTCTCTCTCTCTCTCTCTCTGTCAATTTAAAACTCGTATCCTAAAGTATTTATACATAGTCATTCAAATTTTATAATTGTAAAAAGAATCTACCGATTGACGAATTTGAGAACCAAAATCATTTGGTTTTTTTACCAAACGAAATATTTTCAAGGTTCACAACTTTTGTATAAAATATCAACTTACGAGCAAAAATTTGATGTTTCCACTACTTTTTGAATTTGTATTTTCTGTTCAAATCACAATTACGTTTCTATATTTGAGCGCGTAGCGCAAAAAAAGTATTATTTTTCTCGGATTCACAACTTGACGAAGTATGCTGTGAAATTTAATCCAATTATTTGTTTCTTTACTTCTATAATTTTTAAATTGGAAAAAATGTACGAGAATAACCCTTGTAACAAACATTGTGTCTCGAGACAACGAGAAGAATGCAATAATTTCTCTCGAGTACTAAAAAAAAAAAAAAAAAAAAAAAGGCTAATACGTCGACGCGCGATAAATCTAAAATAACCGCGCGTGCACACCCATTAACTCATTATTATACACACTGACATTATAATCTCGGATGAAAAAAAAAAAAAAAACCAATACGTTTGATTAATCATTATCACGGACCTTCTCGAACGCACCAGCGCGGCATATTCATGTACACAAGCTCGAGAAACACGCGCGCACCAGACCTTTCCCCGACAAGCGCAATCTACAAAGAGACTTGTCCCTCGCTTGCATCGCGACACGTATGCGCACGATCACTCCGAATCAATTACGTAGCCGATTCGCCACGGGTGTATACAAGAAACAACGGTGTGTCCCACCATCAATCACCGAAAGTAAAAAACAAACAACCCAATGACAACTGTAGGAGCGATGGAGCAGTGCCTGGTCCTGGTGTGCCTGCTCCTGGCAACGGTGAGCGCGAGTCCACCCCAGTGCTGCCCACAAGGGCAAAGTTACGTCGACGACTCGAAAAACTGCACGGACGGGAGGGGCATCCTACTGAACTGCGCCGGGGGCTTCTACATGCACGGGCTCCAGCCTGAGGTCGGCGAGGAGCCGTACACCTTCACGCTCGACGCCAACAACGCCACGTGGGTCCAGTTCAACGGGTCCACGGGCTTCAAAATCCCACCCGACGAGTAATGGAAACAAAATTTTCATTTTCTTTTCCTCCATTCGCACTCTCCCAGCGGTTCATCGAGTCCTCGTATCAGGTACTGCCTGGCGTCGAGAACCACGGGCGGCCGGGAGGTGATGCTGATCTGCTTCGTCGAGGAAACAAAGGACCCGAGGATTCTGATTTTCGGGACGCTGAGCTTGGTGTCGAGCGTCTTCCTCGCCGTGACCCTCTTCGTGTACCTCGCGCTCCCGGAGCTCAGGGAGGTCCAGGACAGGGCGATGACGTGTATGACCGCCAGCTTCATGGTTGCCTTCTTCTTCACCGGGATCCAGCAGCTCAACGAGTCGACCCTCAAGGAGGAGTTCACCTGCGTCTTTGTCGGTGAGTACAGCGCACCTTGTTGGCTTGATGTTGTTTTAGTATATGTTCACTCTTTGTATCGTTTAAATTATTCTTTCGTCACTCGACAGCTTTCGTCATGTACTACGCCTACATGAGCGCCTTTTGCTGGCTGAACGTCATTTCGCTCAACATATGGAGATGTGTGTGGTGAGTTGTTTATCATGAAGTACCTACTCTATTGTGGGGACTCTTTTGATTAACATAAAAGTATGGAAAAAAAACAACAACAACAAAAAACGCGAAATCGCTAACGAGGAAACGCAATATTTATCCTACTTCTGACATGCATCACAAGCACGTGCTCAATTTTACCTCTATTAGCGAGCACTTTAACGTCAATATATGCGTTGGTCTTCCAATAATCGCGAGAAGACAAAAAAAAAAAAAAAAAAAAAATAAAAACTTTCACTAGACATTATTATCACGACTGTAATTATACCGATTGTCG